TCTCCTCATGTAACGCACCCCCCCTCCGCCGCTCCCCCGCGCGCCTATCTCCCCCCTTTCCTCTGCTTTTTTTTTTGCTTCGCCTGGAGATCCCTGAGTCGGGGTGGGTTCTGGATGCAGATGGCGGCGCGGGGCTCTCGGAGGCGGACCTGGCGGCGCTCGCCGCGCTGCAGGGAGGGTTCAGCAAGTGCGTGGTACGTCGCTCCCTTGCCGCTGATCTACTGCCCCTCCTGTACTGTGTCGATTTCCTGTCGCTTTATTAGAACCGATTGGGGCTCAGCTGTATCATCTGTCTGCAAATTCGATGCTGCATTGTGTTGTACCTGGGGCCATTAGCTTCTGAAATGCTCGAGCCTTGGTGGATCGGCAGGGTAACCGCTTGATAATTTCTAGACTTCTTCTGAGAATTGATGTGAATGGATGTGATGCTTACTGTTTAGTAGACGGGGAGGATTCATAGTACTCCCTCCGTTCCTAAATACTTGTCTTTCTAGGCATTTCAACAAGTGACTACATACGGAGCAAAATGAGTGAATCTACACTCTAAAATATGTCTACATACATCCGTATGTAGTAGTCATTTGAAATGTCTAGAAAGACAAGTATTTAGGAACGGAGGGAGTATAAGAGAAAATTTTATTTCATCTAGGACTGGGGTGAATTCGATGTTTGGAATGATTCATGTTTTCTGTTCAAAAGGCAACTCTCACCAATAATTGTGTTGCTAGCTACTACAAATCTCTGTGTCGAGGTCATCAGCGTGCTGGTTTGGATGAGTCTTACTTTCGTAAATTTCTTGCAGGATGCTAATGGTCTAGGACTGCAAGCGTTTGGCGGAGAGGATTACTGTCGTGTTGTTATACAGTACCCGAGTGACACGGTTTCTAAGTGGGTAAGTGCGCATGTGCTCGGTCATTTCTTTCCTTATGCTGGCATTTCTCCTTTGAGTTCCTTAAATCTGATTTTGTACCTGGCATTGTACTACATAGACACGCGTGGAACATGGGCATCTGTTGTTCTTCTCATAGTTTGACCAGCTTGTCTTATTTTTGTGATTGTTGTCTTTGCTCTTATGACTGGTGTTTGCAGACAGATCCAAAAACTGGAGAGTCTGAAGGGTTGGCATTTGAGTTCAATCTCTGCGAAGCTGTGGCCTCTTGGGAGCAAGTGGACATTCTTTCTACTCTACCGACTTATCTGTGTGATTTACTTATTGCACTAAATATTTGCAAAACAACACTAACTGATGCCTTGACACTTGGCATAATTTTATTTTATTTCCTAGGTTCGCAACAGTACTACAATACTCACAAAGGAGTACATTGATGCACTACCAAATGGCTGGGAGGAGTATGCATGGCGCAGGATCAACAAAGGAATTCTTCTGTGGGTAGACACAAGTTTTACAGTTTCACATAGACTTAAATTATGGTTAAATTCTAGAGATTGTTGATTATGTTTAGTTCTGGGTTTACAGGAATAAGTGCAAGAACAGAACTCTTTGCATGGAGAAGCTTTCATTGGTTCTCCCTGACACATCACCATATGTACCTCAGCAATTTGGTAGTTGTGCCGTTGTTGGTAACTCTGGGGATCTTCTTAAAACTAAATTTGGGGATGAGATTGATTCTTATGATGTTGTCATTAGAGAAAATGGTGCACCTGTCCAGGTTTTCCTAAGATACCTATATTTCCTGCTCTTGTTTCTTAACTTGGACGTGCTCTAACTTCTTCTGTCTGCATTGCAGAACTACACAGAATATGTTGGTGCAAAGAGTACATTTCGCCTTCTTAATAGAGGATCTGCAAAGGCACTGGATAAAGTTGTTGAGTTAGATGGTAAGTCTTCCAGCCACCTATTTCCCTATCTCTGTCAGTAGGATTCCGGGATGAAAAGGCATGCTAATTCTTATGGTTGCAGAAACAAAAAAGGAGGCATTGATAGTTAAGACAACAATACATGATGTCATGAACAAGATGATTCGGGTAATTTAGCTACATCATATTAAAAAACTAGGGTGCTTTGGGTACACGTTCCTTGTTTTCTTACCTGCCTGACAGAACTCTTGTTATGTAGGAACTTCCAATAACCAATCCAGTATACCTCATGCTAGGCACATCATTTGGTTCCTCTGCTAAAGGAACTGGGCTTAAAGCTCTTGAATTTGCTCTCTCCATCTGTGACAGTGTCGACATGTATGGCTTTACAGTAGACCCAGGCTACAAGGAATGGTAGGTGATTTACATGTTACCTGTCATTGTAAGCATGCACTTGTACTTACATTTCATGGTGCACTCTTTCAGGACGAGATACTTTTCAGAGTCCAGAAAG